CTAATCTAAAATAAACAATTTTCTGTCAGATATTTAGGTTTAATAATAATAATATCAACAAATTTTAAATATGTGATTTTTATTTTATTCGTACGTGAAATTATTGATATTTACTGTTTAATTACAGGACACGTATACACCAAACCCCCTCGAACCCCTCCCCCCTGGAATGGAATGACAACAATGAAACTAAAAAAATTATGCTGCATTCACATCTGTTCATGTAAATGATATTTAATAATTACTTATGAAATAATAAAATTTACATTTTAAAATGTTATTTTATTAAATAAGCCCTCATATTATATGTTACTTTCATTGATATGTATAATTTATAATTAGGTATATATATATATATAGTTTTAGATAATGTATATAGTTTTACAATAATGTATGGAAGACTGTCTGATTTGTAGACATTTTGGATTACTGCTCCGCTCCCTTGGGTGGTAGCATGATGATATGCCTTCCTCAATAAACGGGCTATCTAATGCAAAAAAAATCTGTAAATCGAAGTAGTTCTTCCTGTGATTAGCACATTCAAACAAACAAACTCTGCTTATTTATAATATTAGTATAGATAGGATCTAAAACAAGTTAGATTTAAATAATCTAAATTCTAAAACAACATGGTATTTAAGTCCAAACTTTTAAGGACATTGTCCTGTTAATAAAATGTACATAATAACAAATTACTTAGTATAACATTATTATACTTAACATATACATATATATGATCACCTGTTACTTAACATGCCATGAGGTGGTCTTAGTGGATAATATCTCCTCCTTTTTGGAAGTTGGTTTAAAGTGTTCTGGTAGTAAAAATATTATATTTGTGTACATCTAGCTCTCATTCTCTTAGTGTGCTGAGTAAAGTATCATAAGGAACTTCGTCCCAAAAAATCTTAATTTTATATTTTACACAATGTCCTAAATTGTTTAATATTGTTGTAACTTTTGTGCTTATCTATACATTTTTTTAAAACTATCTGATAAAGTACTTGTATCATTAAGTTTTGCATTAAAAAACGTTATTTTAATCACAGATATTTTCAATGGAAAGAAATATTCTATAAAAGATGGACTTCACAGATAGAACTTCATAGTAACTTGAATTTCAATGGGAATTATATAGATAAGTACATAGTTTCATTTAATTCTTATTGTATTTTTACATGTACTCTAAGGGTTTGAATATAAAAACTTTAAAATCCATATTTTGCTTATTCCCATATAAAGTGGTTGTCCCATTGCTTATGTAGATTGCCAGGGCTCTGGTCACACAATGTATGTATGTATTCAGCCCTTTTTAACGTCCCACTGCTGGGCACGGGCCTCCCTTCAATACGAGGGGGATCAGGCCATAGTCCACCACGCTGGCCAAGTGCGGGTTGGCGGACTTCACATGTCTTTCGAAAACTTGCTAAGTTTTCTCAGACATGCAGGTTTCCTCACGATGTTTTCCTTCACCGTAAGGCAAGTGGTAATCATGTTAGAAATGATTCGCACATGAAAATATCAGAGGTGCGAGACCCGGGATTTGAACCCGCTTCACTCGGTTTCCCAAGCGAGAGCGTTACCACTGGGCTACCACTGCCTATAACACAATGGTCACACAATAATATTATTTTTTAATTAAAATTAGAAGTTCAAAATTAAATTAGAGCTTTCTCTATGCCTCAAAGCTTCTTAATAGTTATTGTTTATAACTTGGCATGCATTGTTCTAAAAAGGCGTTGTTCAAAAAGGAAATAATAAGATTATATTTATACTAGCCTTTTTTTTGTTTACGCTGGGGAAACTATCATGGGGACCTTGCCGACCGTCAATGGGTAGGGTACTGTGAGACTCCTACTCACTAAAACTCACAGCGGAACCCGTCGCCGCAGTGCAATGGGGCTTGCAGGATCGCTTGCGCATTCACTTCAACACCCCTGCGGACGGCCCGTACCCCGCGGGCCAGCCTCGCCTAAATCGGGATGCCCTCGATTCACAGAGCATCCCGATATTTATACTAGCCTTTTTTTTTTTTAACGTTGGGAAATGCATTTACGCACGACGTGTGGGACTCACCGGCGTAATACAGCCAGTACTACCCACTAAAACCCAACAAAACCTTCCACCGTCTTAATGGGGCATCGCAGGATCGCTTACGCATTCAACTACGACGCCCCGACGGCAGGTCTGCCGAAGCAGACCACCACAACCATGGGGTTGCTCCAAGGTCCACTCTGCTATCAGAGAAGTACCAGGAGCAACCCGCAAGGTACACCGCCCCCCGAAGAGGGCCACCTCCCACCGCCCACCGAAGTGGGCAACCTCCCTGTGCGTTTCTTAGCTTCGCGCCCGGTTGGATTGCCGGGCACTACTGAGCCCCCCCACCACGACAAGGTGAACGCACGTTGGGGGGGATATTTATACTAGCCTAGCGTAACGTAAAATAAAAACAAATCTATCCCTCGGAAACCGTACATTTTTCTATGTGTTACTCCAGACTATAATCTATCTCTGTGCCAAATTTTAGCCGTTCTGGCGTGAAAGTATAACAAACATCCATACTCACAAACTCACATTTATAATATTTATACAGATGGTCTCGGGGGACTCAAAATCGCCCCCAACTTCAAGTGGATGTTTACATTTGAAAAAAAAATCGTTCAAGTTTCAGATAGGGTATATTTTTTTGTCTTGGACTCTACTTTTCGAAGGAATAAAACATTTTATGGTCACCCTGTAAAAACACTCTTAAAAATTGAAAATAATTGAGAAATCGATAATTTTTACTTTGAATACTACATTTTTTTAATAATTTACTTAGTTAATTTCAAAAAGAAAAATGGTTATTACATGTATTTTGAAAATTACATTCCCCTAGTCTCAAGAAAATAAAATAAAAATATTGCAGAAATTAAAAATAAAAAAACCAAGAAAGAAACAAAAAACGGGTTGTTACAAATATCTCAAAAACTTTGAGGTCATTGTCAAAAGTATCACCTATAAAAAACGTTAAAAAAAAATATTAAGCTTTTAATAAAAAAAATTATCTCTTTAAAATAAGCGGATTCTGATCGGTCTAATAACTAATTAGCTAGCTTCACGGTGAAAGGTGTTCAGCTGATTTGGATGGGACCATGACTACGAGTACGGACTCACGGAGTATGGACTGGAGTAAGATATTAATTATAATTAGTAATTACTATCTGAAATCTGAGGACGCTACACTAAGTGAACCAAGGATAAGGTAAGTAATGCATTCAAATTTCAATTACTGTACCATTTTTTAATATTGTTGCGAAGCAGAGTCATTAAATTCAAATTGGTACAAACGAAGCAAAACATTTACTTCATTCCACCAGTCAACATTTTCAACTCGAGTTATATTTTTTCCGAATTGGCACATTACTAATTCAATATATAAAGATATTATTATTAACCTCACCAAAGGCGAGGCTTCAAAAATATGAAAGACTCATTTGAGTGTTCCCCTCCACGGAAATCTTTAGTAAAAGGCGAAAGATTTATACGTGTTGAAGGGAAACCAGAGATGCTCTACGCAGCGCTCTACATACCTACTTACACTTCGACACGACAATCTTGCCAGCGCGATGTAGGATGCATACAATACGGAGCAACGCCATCTACTGGCAAGTTTCGAAATTATTGTATCATGTTTTACTTCACGCCGTTTGTGTAGCAAAATAATGTTGGAGTATCCTAAAATAATACACTGAAATTATTTTTATTTATTCTAAATACTTAAAAGTTTAAATTACCTTATTGTACATGCACGCACGATGACCCTCTCTCTAGGGTCGACTTACTTCATCTAAACGTTCTCTTTTTCTATAGGATTATATGAACTCAATGATCATATTATAATGTCACAGTACAACGCCTGTCGGTTCAGTTGGTTTTAAAAAAGTTATTTAAAAAAGTATATTTCCATAATATATTCATGTTATTATAATATGTAAGTGAATAATATGTGTATATAAAATTATAAATATACGCGCTAAACATAACGCATGTTTTATCAATGTCAATGTGAACATAATTCTGAACAGGGTGATCTTTGGTATGTGTGATAAGTGGACACAAAAAACACGCTATTATTAAATAAAACCTGTAGGCGATCCTATCATTTCTAAAAAAAGACAAAATATGTACAGAAACAGTTCTAACATGGCAAATGTTTAGGTGCTATAAAGATATGCCTTCTCCTTGTATCCCTAACTTATACGTACAATTCAAATTGATCCAAATATATATCCCAAATAAATGTAGCACCAGACAAAGCATTGGATTCCTACCATTCAACGTTTTATAGAAGCTATCACTACACTGCATGTGTGCTTTCCATTCTTGTGCATCATTATTGCTATATTTTTCCGTTAACTGTTTTGGCAACGAATCTTGGGCTTTCCCAATGAATACGCTTAACCGGTTCTCAAAACAAACATATTCTGAGAACGTTCAAAAGATAAGTATATGATACACAAACAACAACTATCTAAAATCATCAAACAAAAACATCATTGTGATTATTTGTGATTTGTGAAAATTCAGTCCTTTCATAATTTATAGATTTCAGAGTTATGTTTATTTGCTATGCCTATGGACAGCGACACGGGACTGAATCTTCCCTAATAATTGAAGCTAAACGAAAACCAGTAAAACATGACGTAAATATAAATACATAAAAATCATAATATCTTTCAAAGCGACATTTAGGCGATCCAAAATGCATTTGAAGGAAGTGGGAAAATCCTAACTTCCGTAGATAGCGTGTTTACAAAACTGATAACAACTATAAAGCCAGTTCTGCAAGAGTCGCACGCGGCAGACGGGTCAGAGCGCGCGCGGAGTCGCTCAGTGTCGCACTCACTCACTGCGAGCGTCTAAAAATAACTTGAAGATCAACGTCCAAATGAAGTGTAATTCGATGAACAAATAAATACTTCAGTTTAGTGAATATTTGTTCAAATAAGGAATCAAAGATGAGGTGCGAGTTCCCAATGCTCACCAGATGCTGCTTCTGCCTCCCGCTGAGGCTGAGCTTAATGGTTTGGGCGTATATAAAGACGGTAACGTTTTGTTTTTGTAACATTTAGATAAACATCATTATTAGTGTAACAATTACTTTACAAAATTTTGTTGTTTAAAATTATCGTTTTAAAATGATATCTTTATATCTGTTTCTGTTAATTTTTTCTTTAAATACCTATTTAAAAATAAATAATAATCATGTTTAATAATATTGTAAATTCAAATTCAGAATATTTTATTCAGCATTTAATTACTTATTACAATTTTTACTGAACGTGGTGAGTCTACTATCAGTTCGGAAAGAAGAAGCCTCAGACCTGAGAAGAACTGGTATACTCATTGTCTTTTTTATAAAATTAAATTATAATCTAAAATATTTTTATAAAGTTGGAGTAGCCTGGAGACAATCATTCCCAAGGCGTGCCATCTTCTATACAGTCATTAATTGTATTTCCTTTAGCACACAAACGTTCTTTAACATTTTTTTTTTTAATTTGGCGATAGAAGCTTTTTGAACACTTTCTGGGATCGTGTTGTACAAGCGTATACATTGTCCATAAAAAGAATTACTGACTCTGTGTAGACGAGTCACAGGCATTACAAGTTTGTGTTTGCTCCTAGTATTAATGTTATTCATGTCACACTTCTTGGGAAATTCGTGTATATTTTTACGAACATAAAATTTTTGTACAATTATTGAGAAGCAACAGTCAATATTTTTATTTCTCTAAACTTATCTCTCGATGACACGCTCGCACCTATATATTACGCACTATAAATTGCACGAATAGCTCTTTTCTGCAGGACAAACATCGTACAAGCAAAGGTGTCTGGTACCTTTCTACGGTCAAATAAATTCAGATTTTGAGCCTGCTATATATGTAGATTGGACAAACTTTGGTTAACTTTAGGGAATCTGGAAAATTACTGTGTTGTAAGCAATGATTAATACAATTAGTTAACTTTGGTATACGACATTGGCGATGTAAACTATGCCCAGTGACACACAAGTAAAGCCACAAAAGAAAGCACTAAATTCAGTGACAGTGGCTACATGCTGGCCATGCACGAGGTCAATGAGACAGTTAAATCGATAGTTTTAGCAGTAAAATAGACACCATGGATTTTTTTTGAAATCAATTAAATGTCTGTTGCAGATATCCTCCGCTGTGTTGCTCTCGTATTTGGTATTCATCGTAATCGACGAGTGTACCCGACTTTGTCGGATACATTCTATATATTTGTACCTCTTCTACATCCCAATATGTTCGATGTTAACAATGGACATAATATTTCATATAATTTTTATAATAAGTGCTCACAAGGTAAAGTAACGAAATATCTAATATATGTATACCCGACTTAGTCTTTAATAATTATATTTTACACATGGTAATATACCAGATTATTTTAAATTAATTGAAATATTTATAGGTAATTTTAAATTAAAAAATGGCCCATTAGGGCAATTTCGCTAACACAATATGACAACGATATGTGACCATATTAGTTTATAGCATGCTCTGATAGCGCTGAGCTTTATTATCCCTATATATTTTTATTTACGCGTCTAATTTTATGTGATATTTATGCATTCGTATCATTACAAGTAATATAGCTTTCTCCATATTTATTTTTACTTAAACCTATTATCTTTATAGAACGTAGAGAAGCACCAACCAAAGCTTACCAACAAACGCACAAATGATACCGTATCGTTCTAGTCAGAACAGGACTTAGCCAAGTTGACACTACACTATCACAAAATTTATTATTAGTAACAGTTCACTAAAAATAGCGTGCTCAAGACGTAGCAGGCGAGCAGAGACACGGGCAATAACCAGTGTTCTCATAATGTCTCTTACTACAGAAGATATTGTTGGCGACTAATAATGCGCTTTCGCCACGCTTCGGCTTACCATGAGAATATTCTACCATCGTTATCACCAATAAATGTAAAAGAAAACAAAAAAATTACATATTTTTGTGTTATAGATTATAAACAGGGAACTCTTTTATGGGAGTTATTATACTCAGTGTCAAATCAGTCTTATGTTTACTAGTGAAAATTCTTCTATAATTTTCCCTCCATCAGCGTCGTAGCGGGTACAAAGAGACAGACGAACAAAATTTTTATTGTTCTTTTTTTTGCTTTACCTACTCAGGAATATAATACAAATATTCTATATGAGCTCAAAATACAGTTGTTATTTTGTTATCACAGCCCAGTTACATTACTTTATTCACAAAAACGTGAACGAAATCTAAAGTCCTCGACTACTACTATAGTCGAGGACTTTGCACAAAATATTTCCAGACAAATGACTCTAATACCGTTAAACAGGTTTTGTTCTTAAGTAGGTTTTCCATTGGACACGTAAAAGCACAAATCTAATTTATACACTAAGTCAAGTTTCTTTTCAATCGGCTGATTAAAATATCGACGAGCCAAAGGCTATTTGTTTTATATTTATGATATATAATGTAATGAATTTTTTTTGAAAAAAATAATCATTAAATTGGCTCTCCTGTAAAGTTAAGAAAATGTCGCTTAAACCAAATAGCCTTTGACCCGTCGATATAATATTTGAGTTTCTTCCTATGCATCACCGGGTGTAATGGTTACAAAATAAGGCGCGTACATACATACGCAAAATTAATTAGGTTTGTTATTGATTTGATAGAATGTTTTATGAATGTCTTTGGTGTTTGGCTTAACCCTACTTGCTGTGCCAGCGGTCGCGGGTTCAAGTCCCGCTGGGGGCATTCGTTTGTGTGATTAGCACAAATGTTTGTACTCCAGTTATAGATGTTTATATTTGTAAAATGTATGTATTTAAAATTATAGATATATGTGTAGTATTTCAACTATCGGGTATCCATAACATAAGCCTCGTAACTTACTATGAAACTAGATGGTGTTGTGTGTTAATGTCTCAACATATTTATTTTTAATTCATATTTGATTTCAGAAAGAACACAGGAAAATGAGGCTCTTCTACAGATACAGTATATTTAGTCTTATGATATATATATCTGGACTTATCTTTTCGATATCTCTGCTATTCATCGACTCACGTTACTTTATTTATGCATATTTCTTTGGATTTTTCCACATAGCTATATTTTTGTGGATAATAGGTAAGATTCCTAATTTATTATTATTATATTCTTTGTTGCATAAACAAGAAATACAAAAAAAATGTATGTACATAAATTCTGTTCACTCATTTCTTACAATTAGAGCCAAAAGTGATTTAAAGTTCTGCTTATCAACATTGTATAATATGTACTTATAGTATATTTATAACAAAATATTTAAGGGATGTTTCAAATGTTATCGAAACCATTTTAATTTATTATGCTTTTGTTTAATTTATACTGTACAAAAATAAGTTTAATAATAGATATATACATATAATAAAATTCTAATTGAGTCGAATCTGCACATGAAATATTTTTTGGAAAATCTTATTAAAATAGTTATTATTATCGATACAGAGACCGAATTTATTACATAATGCTTGCTTTCAGTTATTCAAATCTACGTGTTAATTCTGGTGCGGAGTGAAGTTGTGAAGCTAAAGAGGAACATGAACTTTGAGTTCGTGAACCACGCGGCAGAGCCCGGTGCTGTGAAGGAGGACTTACGGAATGTGGAAGAAGTACAATATTATTAATAATTAAGCTAATAAGTGATTATGTTTCTGTATATATTAGAAATAATTGTGAAATCAAATATTATTTTAGAATGTGACGGTCACCTGTTCGAGTCTCGTACAATTAAAAGATATTAGTTAAAAATAGATCTAAATAAATCTTTATTTTTAAGTCATAGTTTTATGTTTACTATTAATTGTAAAAATAAATAATATAAGAAAAAGTGAAAAATTACAGGATTTTACGTCACAATAATGCACAAATAGTTCACGTTTTCATTTACTATTTTGAACTACCTAGTACCTATGCATTTTTAAAAGTTTCTTGTAATTTATGAGTGAATAACTGAGAGTCAATAACACTATTAGTCCAATCGGAATCCGGTCTGGGAAAAAAATATTGAAAGCCTGAAGTTTTATGATTTTAAAATGTTAGCAGGTATATAAGGAATAGAAATTCGTAAAATGCCCCACATGCCCAGCTACCCCCGAGAAATGGGGGGACGCAAAGCGTTGAAAAATAGTTTTTTTCAATTTCCGGCTTACTGTGACGTTCTATCGAAAAATTTTTTTACAAAAGTTGTAGGTCTAGTAAAAATCTACAACTTTTATAAATAACACTTTTTACAATAACCTCAAAGTTTTCGAGATATTTGCAAAAAACTCGCTTTTAACTGTTTCTTGGTTTTTTATTTTTAATTTCTAGAATAATTTTCAAAATACATATCAATAAAAAAAGTAATTTAAACATTTAGCCATTTCCGAGAAAAGTATGTTTTATGGTCTCGAGAGGCTGAAAATCACCCCAACTTCAAGTGGGCGTTTACATTTAAAAAAAAGCAGTTGATCAATTTTCAGATAGGGCTCATTCTTTTCGTCTTGAACTCTTCTTTTTGAAAATATTAATTAATAATTTTTAAAATTTAAGTCATATTTCTAAAAGGATCTATCAGTTTTTTAAAAAAATATCTTTTTTTAATTTTTTATTATTTTTTAACAAAAATATGACTAAATTTTATGAATATCAACTTGATTTTTTTAATATATTTTGAACTAATGAATAAACAAGATTATACTATGAATGAATTTCATTCTGTAATTATGAGTAGAAGTATAGACTCTTATTATGTAAGTATCTTATTTACTAATTATTTTAGTAAATAATATTACTATTCTAATTTAGTTATAGTAATAATAATAAGGTAATAGTAAGGTTATAGTAATAATAATACTATTCAAATTAAAGTTAAGTGATATAAGTTAGTATTAAGTACTAAAATAACTTGTGAAAACATAATATGGAATAGAGCTGGCTTGATATCATTACACATTGTGCTAATTTGTTTTATTGTAGAACATTTACATTTGTAAACAACTCTGTTATTTTTAACAAAAAAAAATAACAAAATTACAAAATATTTACAAAAATACTGTATGTATAACCCTTGATCTCTAATATCATTCCACGACTCCATTCCACGTGTACTGGAAATTATAGGAGAGTTCAGAGTCAAAGGCCATATTACATAGTACATACTACATACTCGTATAAACAACAAAACAAATGCTATAAATTTAATTGACTGAAAATAACGAATTTAGCTTTAGTTTTTACTTATATGCATCATGGATTCTACATCATGTTTTACTGTTCATTGAATCATTCATCATTGCTTACAATTTACAATATTACACTCAGCAGTAGCACTCTGTTTAATTATTTATATTTGTATTTACATTTATTAACCTCACCAAAGGCGAGGCTTCAAAAATATGAAAGACTCATTTGAGTGTTCCCCTCCACGGAAATCTTTAGTAAAAGGCGAAAGATTTATACGTGTTGAAGGGAAACCAGAGATGTTCTACGCAGCGCTCTACATACCTACTTACACTTCGACACGACAATCTTGCCAGCGCGATGTAGGATGCATACAATACGGAGCAACGCCATCTACTGGCAAGTTACGAAATTATTTTATTATGTTGTTTTACTTCACGCCGTTTGTGTAGCAAAATAATGTCGGAATAATATTATACTGACATTATAATTGAAGTAATACTTCTTTTGGGGCGTTTAGAAAAAAATATGAGACTAAAATTTTTCGATACGCGCGCACATATTTTTGGACAAATGATAGGTATATAATATTATATTCTTTCCTTAAACGATATTCTATAAATATATGATTGTAATATGCCTAAAATGCCTTATTTTATTAATTTATCATACGTTTTAAAAACAAAGAGTTGTGACATACGAGATGGAATCTTTAGCTATTTTTGTTCTGTTACGCCAAAGAAGTATACCTCCTTACGTGCGTACATAAGTACATACACACGTTTTTTCATAAATTCTAATTACTTTAAAGTTTAAATGATGATTGATAAACATGATTTGAAATATTATTTCTTTAGTTTGTCATTTGATGGCTTGCAAGTCGATGAGGTGTCATTTTTGAACAGCTTGTTATTAAAGGCGCTTTAAAAGCAAACGTCATTTTGTTATTTAATTGCATCGAATGCTATAATTCGTTGTAATATAATATCAATGAATGGATGTATAATAGACAAAATGGTTCATTATGAAAGTTTCAACAACATCACCTAGATGTCACTGCGCGTATCGAAACTTATTCTTGCTAAAAGTTATTAAAAATAAAAGTTTAATTACAATACATACTACAATACTCACATACAATAATATTTATTAATATTATTGCAATGTGTAAGTGCATTATATATCAAGACACGCGGTAGCGTATCCAGCTAAGTTCAAGCCAAAGGAACGCACCACCGTGTGTACATTTAAAAGAACCATTTGGAGCCACGTTTCATCTCGTAATAACTGAAAGTCTATTTAATATAAATTGATGAAATTTGGTTCATTTATTAAAACCGCTTAGATTAACTAGAATCCCCAATTTAATAATACAGCTTAAACGGTTATTGAGATATTAACGTCTAAAAGTCGGCATTTTTATGACTGACTTACTGACATATAGTAGTAAAACCTAACCCACTTCCAGATGACCTAGAAAGTTGAAATTTGTTGTCCAGATGGGTAATTGTGTGCATACAAAGGGAAAAATCCGAAAACAGTAATTTTTAAATTTAAAATAAATAAATAATTTTTAATTAACACCTTGCGCCGTCCAAAACACAATAACAATAGCTTAACCCCTAGTGCCTTTTGTAATATAATAGCAATCATAGTAATAGCAAAAACTTCTTCTTTTTCTGGAGAAACGGCTCCATGATGATTAAATAACATTTTCCTTTGCGCCTTATCCATTTACGAATAGTCGCAAAATTATGAAAAAAAGATTAAATTTACACGTCACTTTGGAATTATAAATAATAATAGTTTCTTTAAAAAAAGTCATGATATCCCATCAAAACATAATTGTGTGAATGGGAGCCAAGCTCAATATTAAAAATAAGCGTGGTTATCAACTTCACCGACAAAAGAATTGAGATCTAAATAGGTGCCAAGTTCTGTAAATAATCATGAATTTTCATAAGACCATACAACATTCTAAAATAAATTTAAAAAAACAATTTCTTGTTTTTTTCTGCTACAAAAGTATTTGCTATTTAAAAATAGAACTTCTTAAATTTGAAGTCGAATTATTTACACAGAGTAAGTTATCTAAACTTAGGATAAATTGAAGTTCAAGATTTGACTTGGCTAGTTTTTACATACAAGTTATCTTTTATTCGGCTAATCACTTATTATATCTTCTTTATGCTTTACGCAAGTTACTGTTTTTGTATGTAAGGTCAACATATCTCACTCTTCTAAAAACTTGCTTTACTGGTACTGGTACACGTAGAAACAAAGTGATTCGTTGTGAAATCAGGACCTAGAACATAGAATACAATATATACAAAAACAATAAGATAAAATAAAAATTACAATTGTTAGTACTATTAATCACATATTTTGTATACAGCTACATATAACTGCCTCGGTGGTGTAGTGGCTAGCATGTACGGCTGCACACTCGAAGGTCCTGGTCCTGGGTTCGAGTCCCGGGTCGGGCCAAGTTTAGTTATTAAGTCTTTCTGTATAGTAAGTCTCAGTAACAGCCCGGAGTTGGGAAGTTGGCGGTGTTTCACCCCCGTGCCTCGGAGAGCACGTAAAGCCGTCGGTCCTGCGCCTTAACTTTCACTGGTCGTGTCGAGTGGTCGACCCACCGGAGGATGAGAGTGACAGGAATAGAGAGTGCACGTTTTGTCTGCGCGTACACTTGTGCACTATAATATCTCCTGCGCAGTTGGCTAGTCTTAATGAGATTGGCCGCCGTGGCCGGAATCGGCTAGGAGAACATCATACAGCTACAATTTGATTTTATTACTAGTATATATTATTTACTAGAAATATTAACTGAATTCAAAATTCGTTTCGAAGTTGTATGTAAAGAAGGAATTCATATTTCAGAGTCATGTTTATTGGTTATGGACTAACAAGGACACGGGAGTGAATCTTTCTTAACAATTAGCAATTGAAGCTAAAGGAAATCCAGGAAAACATTACCGTAAATATAAGTGCTCGTACATAAAAATCACAAATATCATTTCAAGGAAGTGGGCAAATCCTAATTTCCTTAGATAACGTATTTACAAACACCGCGACATGATAACAAATACAAAGCTAGCTCTGCAAGAGTCGCACGCGGCAGACGGATCAGAGCGCGCGCGGAGTCGCTCAGTGTCGCACTCACTCACTGCGAGCAAGCTCACAAATTAAATTAAATAAATATTTGAATGAATAAATATTTATGCAAAATAAATATTTTACTTTAGTTAATAATTGTAAAAATCAGAAATCAAACATGAGGTGCGAGTTACCGATGCTCACCAGATGCTGCTTCTGCTTCCCGCTGAGGCTGGGATTGCTCGTTTGGGCGTATATAAAGATGGTATGTTCTGTTTTGGTAGCAACGTTGTAATTAGTTCAACAATTACTTTATGCATTCTTATTTATAATAATTATTATTATACTATCTGTCCTTATTTTCTCGTCATTAAGAAAAATAATGATTATGCCAAAGCAACGACCACTAAGCGTAGTCGTTGTGCAAGTATTCGTAAAAGTATGTACGTGTGTCTGAGTGTCTGATTGTTTGTATATTTATAACAGTCAAGAAACTAGACCAATTCTGATGAAAAATACTCGTATCATATAATATGTATATCTACTTCTGGTCTTAGGGATGATGTATCCCGTGGGATAGAGAAAAAACAAATATTTTAAAATTTAGTTTTCACGCATGTCGTAAATACATATTAGATTAACTATATGTATGTATATATGTACAATTATGTAGGTATTGATTTAGATAAATTGTGGGTAGGCACTGTCTGTAACAAGTATAATAAGTATAACGCCTTTGAGACGTCTAAAACCTTAAGTCTCTCCCCGTCCCGTGACCATCATTCCTGTAAAGCATTCCATACGTCACGTCGGGTATCAAAAATCTAAAAAAATCCGCGAAAAAATCTGAAAAAATATCTTTTTTTAAAATGTCAAATATTCTCGTAAATAAGAATTGACGGGAAAATAAAATTACGCAATGTAGTACGTAATGACGTACATTTGTATATCTGTAATTCGTATTAATTTAACTCTTGAATGGAGATTGTTATTATTTTTGCTCATGCATAAAAATAAACAATAAATGCGTTTATTGGAATGTTTATGAAATCAGTATGCGGCACAAGTGATGGATAAAAACCTATTAAACAGATGAGTGAAGGTCTCTTCCAGTTTGGATCTTAGATAT